TTTTCGTTCTTATTTCTGCTTTTTTTTTTGTATCTTTTTCTTTTCTGCATTAGGTAGACACGTGAAGGCTCGTTCCCGATTTTTCGATCCGTCAACGTACGCTTGGTGCTTTACTTCGATTTCGGAAGAAACAAATGCATATTTACGTTTGAGCGTACGATGTTTTAACGAAGTTCGTTTGATTCGATGGTAGTATACACGAGAGTGGCCGCGTCGCGTGGTCGTTCGATCTGTTTCGTTTTTTTTCTTTCCAAGTTTAGTCACATTTATACGTTTTCATGATACTGGAGGTAAGGAGCGAGCGCGCGCGCGCGAGCATGTACTTACTTCGTGTAATCTTCGTTTCGTTTACATTTATATTGTTTCTAGAAATAACAACGTTACTCTTTTAGCTTCTAATAATGTTGTGAATCGGTGAACAAGCGAATGGGTGGGGAGGAGCGCGCGCGCGCGCGCGTCTCATCTTTGATGAAGAATAACTCTTAAGTAATACATAACAAGACGTTCGATTCGATCTTTTGTCGATCACGATTCATGTCGTATGATCTAGAATATGCCTGAGACCGAAAAACGTCTCGTGAGCTTCGTCTATCACTAGACAAGAACTCGACGTATCTTTTGGCACACGCTTTTTTTTCTCTGTTCTACGCGAACGGAACTTAACCTGCGGAGAGAGCATGTTTAATGTCGATGACTGATATTATTCTTCTTTTGGTTACGCATGATTTCTTCCCGCAGAATCGTTTCCGTTTTACGCCGCATTTGCACGCTTCTTATTCTTTCTTTCGCCCATTGTTTCCTACGGGTGCATGAACAATCACCATAGTGAACTACATACGAGAATGCGTACTAGACCGTTACGATTAATGTAAATATATTGTCGGATATATCAGAAACCATTATTCTCCTCTGTAACACGTTTGTGGCCAGCGACTTGATTCTCTTTTTTCTTTTTCATATGGCTTGCACGTTCACGAATGCTCGACATCCACGATTTTTATACGGAATTGAATGTACAATAATTGGTCAAACTGAATTTCCGAGTCTTCGATCTGACTCTTAATATAGAGGGGTGTCAATTCGTATTTCTCCTCGAGTGATAAACGCAGCTTTCTAGAAATAATTCAAGCACGATTATTAAAATATATCTTTATGCGTGTGCACTATAGATATCAATTCCTAAATAAGTTTCGGGATTTGTTTTCTTGCGGCTTTATTGTTCGTTCACGTTGTATAATAGTAAGTGTAGGTTTTCTTATTTACTTCAAGAAAATTATAATCCTCTAAGTAGTCATTCGAACAGATCAACAGATAGCTGAATACATATGTATGTTAAATTCGTTGATACAAATAAACAGGTGACGAAAGTTAAATGAACGAACCAGTTTTTCTTACTTCATAATGGATAATATGCGATAATAATGATTTAACCACGACGCGAACCACAAACGTTTTACTTCGATACCACAAGACATATTTCGGGCCAACAGTGTTTCCAATTGTTCTTTTCTTTTCGTTCGACGTTCCGTCTAACTACGTATTTACAGGACTAGAGTCTTATTTAAAACCTGGCGTACCTGCTCGGCTATTATATTCGAAATTTCTTCCGTGTTCGAGAATCGCTGTGAACAGGGAATGTAAACTAACTTCCGTGAACGTGTACGTAATAATTTACTGTTGCACGATGAAAACGAAATTAAAACTATACGCGATCAATTGAGATTCGTAGAAGGTGTTGAACTCATCTCACGGTCACCGAGCAGGCAGTGAATCATGAGCATAATATACGTTGTTGCCTTAAGTCTAGAATCTTAAAGACTACATGTGTAGTTAGCGCCCACGATAATTTACTACTCGAATTTATCGTTCAACGAGAAGTTTTTCCTCGATGTTCTCGATTAAGCACTAATTCACGAAGCACCATCGACGGGATTACTAATGAATCCTAAAAGTCTTCTTTTCTCAATTAATTCCACCTGAATGGCTTTGTTTTTTTTTTTAATTTATTTATTATCGTGGGCAAAGATCGTAGTTAGATCTTATCCAACAGTGAAACCTGTCAATTTGCCTAAAATGATGAAGAAAAGGAGTACCAAATAGTTTTTTTTTTCTCTCATGGATTCTCAAATTTGTATGTACCCTTTCCGGCTGTTATTCGTTATCATAACAACGCTTTTTTGTTTAATCACGTTTCTAATCACATTTAGATTTTCGTTCTTTATACAGATATATGTGGATAATTCAACGATGATTTTCGTGTCGATTTTATCAGCATGTTTTTTACAGAACGCGTGACTGAGTTATTCTTACACATAAGAACGTTATTGTACCAATTTGAACAGATGAAAACAGATGTTTATCGTGTAACACGTTTAGACTATTCTAAGTAAATTGTGAATGCACTGTGTAAAATCGATTTTTTACTTCGATACAGCTTGGAGCAGTAACTATGGAATGACATTTATAAATGTACATATAGTCAAATAGCAGTCGATGTTTTCATGAATGTATAAGCATGGATTTTTTTCGTTCTTACGAATCCTTTTGCTAATTTTGCAGAACAATCCAATACCTGTTACGGTTGGAAAGAACGCGTGTAATGCATTATTATTATCGTAAGGCTGACATTTCTGGTCGCAACGAAGAACGCAACAACTCGTTCTCATAATTCCGCGGGGTTCATTGATTGTCGTATCTAAAATTGTGGTGTGAAACGTTTGAATGCACTCGAAAATGTGATATCCGCCACCTCACGATGTGATAATTTGATGCTATCGTTAAACTTGTTCGGATTGAACAAGAAGTATAATTCACATTGATATTTTGTTTTCGAAAATTTGATGTATGTATATCTACAAATTTCCCGCGTATCCTCTTAGTGGTATGATCAAATGGAAAGGAAACGAGTCGCATACTTGTTCAGTGGATGGATTGTCAGTGAGTATAGTACAACTTTTGAATCACACAGTTCTCTCCTGTTTCTTTTACGATGTAAAACTTTAGTAACAATTACCAATATCTATGTATGTCGAGTAATATTAGTTTCCTAAAGCACGATGTTAAATTGACACTTTCCATTCACCGTTGTTTTCGTTCCAAGGAGCTAATCTGGTACAAGTAACTGCGAGAGAAACATTCTTCTTCGATATTAAATGATCCGATTAGCCAATTATTCGAATTATCGCCGCCACGTTCAATAAGACAAACGAGAGATATTGCAAATCACTTGCGGATAAAAATTATACAAATTTTCTGTCAAAATTACAAAAAATACGAGCGGAAAGGTTTTACACGTATTGTCTTTATTCAGAAGTCGATCCCAACGAGTCACAGTTGTCAAACATGACCGTTTCGAAGCGTCGTAAGATTTTCGAGCGGTCCAAAGTTGCATAAATCTGGGCCAGTTTATTAATGCCGACGGTATTACGACAGAATATGACCGAGTTAGTTCCTCGAATCACTTAAAACAGAAGTTTCAACAAAATTAACATAAACTCACAAACGCTTTTTGTAATCGATCGAGGCAATTTAAGCTTCAGCAATTGATGCTAATTTTGGTGCTTAATGCAGGAGGTATTTTTGTATTATTTCTGATATTGCATACGTATCGCCGAGTTGTTGAGTAAATTGAATATTTTCTTTATTTAGCTCTATTTACTCGTCTACCTTCTTGCATCAATTACATTGAGTCTCCATTATTGAGAAACGAATGATAGAGAGGTAGTTTAGGGAAAAAGCGGTTTTCCGTGTAAGGGAATATTTGCGAAAGATTAATGTTATTGTCCCGTATAGCAGAATCGTGTTTTTTTTTTTTTTTTTTAAGTTTGCTCGGTTACACATAAGGTTTTATGAAATATTTTTAGCCAAAAAACGAGAAAGGTGAATTCAAAAGCAAAGTAGAGTTTCTCTGTGTTTATGGATCGTTAACCATTTTGGTTTCCAAAGAAGGTGGATGCGTATACATGCTTTGATCATATATGACTTGGTCAAGATTTTTCACGGAGTTTTTTAAACTTTGCGGAATAACATATTTTGTGCTTGATTTCCTTTTGTACGATATGTATACAATAGCAGAGAGTAGCGATATTTCAAATGAATCGAGAGAAAAGAAAATCTACGACACAACGGGGTGCGAGTTAAGCTGCGTCCACACTAGTGTTATAAAACAAATTGTTTTATAACCTTGTTGTACAATATGATTTTATGACTTGCTACAAGATTATAACATTGGGTATTATAGTAACAAGCTTGTAACAAGTTTGTACTTCTTCCTTTTTCAACTCTCGCTGAAACTGTCCAATCACTATTCGATTTTTTTTCTATTTCGATTGATTCCATCTCCGTAACAATGCCTAATTCAGTCCACGCATCATGCTTCTTATTTCTGTCTTTGAAGTTTGTAGACGTAGGGTCCATAAGACACGTTTCTCCCGTAACAATTTATTTAAACGAGCGATCCTTTCTTTCGTTCATTCCATTTTATAACTGAAAAAAGCGACATCGAACAATAAACGAATGTTTTCCGGTTAAAGGTAAGTAACAGCTAGACTGAGGTGACATACGGTAGATGGAAACCGTTTTACAACCATATCTCACTGGTTTGGATCACCAACTTTCTTCGATCTTTACCGACACTTGATGTATAGATAACATGCTATGTAACACAAAAAATGTTATTTATAACATAATATTACAGAACATCTTTCTTACTCTTTCTCTAAAAAGTTCTATAACTTAGCTATATAACGTGTTACGTTATATAGTGTAGACGCAGCTTGGGTGACAGTTTGAAAACAATTACAGTTGGACAATTCGTTGCAGCCGCCACTCCGGTAGCGTGAATTATCCGGCAATTTGAGCTGGCAACGACAATTCGATAATTGAAAGTTTGCCAATAACGTGAATTAACTGGGCTCGTTCGTTTGCCTACTCCATTTAACGGCGGCAGTCACGGACTCTGACATCATAGAATCTCCTTTTTCGCGACAGAGATCTGACTGCCAAGAACCAATTCTCCTATTCGCTGTGAACGCGATTATCCCCGCGGCACGACATGGCTGAATTTATCTAAAAATTCCGGAACGCCGCCGGCTGATGTTCGTACACATTCGAAACTCGAGTATCCCGACTATTCGATGAAACCCGCGTCCTATTCGTTGCGCAATCGAGCCCCATCATCGTTGCTTCCGCCGTCCTCTTCTTCGCTGTCCCGTTTCCCGTGGATTCCTAAATCGATGGCGGATCCTTGTCGCAACGATGCACAAACCCGTGCTGCTGTTGGGGTCATCCACTCGAGTGCTCGGGAAGCAGTATGCTGACCGACTTGCGATTCGCAGAACCATTACTCGCGTTGCTCGTACTGGTGGCCGTCGCAAGGGCTGGTGATCGGTGTGACGGCGCGACCACCCTCACTTCTGGTCGGGGTGAAGCTTCCCTCAGCGGGCTCCCTACATTCACTAAGTCCTCTGGATTCGTGAACGTGGGTGCTCTGTAATGAGAAATGATCGATGGTAATTGTTGTGTTTATAACGGCCAAGAGGTTTTCAATTACTTTATATTCGCCGACTAGTGGTCGCTTTTGTAATGGGTAAAAGAGCTCATGGTTCTCTTTCGCTATTTTCGATCAGGGTAGAGCAATGGGATAAATCGAAAAGTAGAAATGCGACGAGCGAGTGAAGAGTCTATATATGGTGTAAAAAATTTATTCACCCTTTGAAACCATTTCAATTACGTATAAAAGTGTTCTCGTACCAGCATATGGATTTTAAGCGAAATTTAAAAACGTGGTATAAATGGAAAAAGTGATTAGTTTTGTTTAATTTGTAGATTAAAGTATTCATACCTTTTTTAACTGTATTTATTAATTGGTTTGATCAGAATTATTGCTATGTGTAATGAATATTTGAACAATCCTGTTAAATTAAACATTGCTTTTCCACATTATTCGGAGAATTAGTTTGAGAGCGGAAAAATGTTGAAAATTAACGTTCCTTTCACATATTGATGCAACGATATGCGTTATTTTTCTACAGGGAATGTAAATGTACATCACATACAGTGAAGCATAATAATCGTACGATCAGGTAGACTATCGGTCATCGAGGAAAATGATTTCCCGCGATAAGAGTAAAGAGCTCGAATTTGTTTTGCGAATAAAAACGGCCATCTGGACGCTTATATCGTTTTCCATATTTAACTCCCAAGTCTCGCTAATTAGTATGCATAAAAAAATTGACATTCTTTCATTTCTTTTAGAAGTTATTTAAAAATGAAATATGGGTCTAATTTTTGGGATACCCTGTAATATCTTTTACAAATATTTAATATATCTTTAAATTTAATATCTTTTACAAATAGTAGTTACCGGCAATAGGTACACCACAGAATATTGATATTGAAAATTTGGTTACCTTTTCGAGCGATGTTGTGCATAGAATGTGACATAAAATGATAATCTTGATGTATATCCGTAATGGTATACCAGACAGGTGTAAGAAGAGTTAATGATTTATCGTATGGAATTGTTGCGTAGTGACTACATTCGTAATTTGCTGATGGATTTGTAAATACCTGCGTTTCAAACAGTTTACTCGCACCACCAGTGCATTTGAATTAATTTTATTTTACGAAAAATTTATCGACACTTGGAATTTTCAATTCTATCGAGGTATACATTGTAGTATGGACATTAACCCCTTAACTTATGATTTCTTTTCTAACTTATGCGTATAAACGTCAGCCATTTAATGTTTTAGTACTGCATCCGGTAACGAAAGCTAATCTGTTACAGATTAATTGCATTTAGGAATACTTGATCTTATAAATTAAAACGAAAGTTAGGATTGCAATTAATTTTTCTTAGTAATGTAACTATTTTTCTCACATCTTGACCGGAATCTCTGCCACGAGTCTGACACGTTGTTGTAGGTATTTTAATACCATTAATAACTTGTCTGTAACTTCGAGTTAAATATAAGTAAGGCACATGGAAACAGGCTGGAAGAAGAACTTGCCAATCGAAGTTTAAACTTCATGCGTAACATAAAATTAAAGTATCGATGAAGTATCGATTATAAGTGCAACGAGCTAAATTTAATATTTTCCCGTTTTTTCTTCTTTTTTTTTTAATTTTTTGGAGAAAACATGACCTTTCTGAAAATGTATTAAAATCTGTTGAATAGTCCGTACCGTGAAAATCAATAGCGAGGATGCATTATGTTGAACTTTCAAACAGTGATGATAATCAGAGTTTTCAAATGAATTTAGCTGTCGAAGGCCGAATGAGAATTAACGAGTAACGACGTTATTATACACCTTGTCACTATCTTCCACGTTAAAAATCGTGATTTTCGACTACAATATTGCAAAAGGTGTGTAATGTAACCCTGTGTTATTTAAGTATAATATTATAGATGCATTTGATGAGCTCGCCTTCATTTAAGTATTGAATTTCGTGGTTGGTCGATCTGTCTCTTATCTTTCCCTCTGTTATCCTCCGAAGGATAACAACAATCCATCATCATTCCATCGTTTCCATCTAAATAATCGCGTCAGTTAAGTGAAATAGAAACTTTATCACGTCTTTTTTCAGCAAGAGATTGATTCTTTGCTATATTGTTCGCTGCCTTTCTGCTTGTGCAATTGAGAAACAATGGAACTGCGATGGAAATTTTCGACTGAGTTATCAATATCGACTTCCTTCGATGAAGGAAACTATACATACACTCTCGTTCATAAGTATTACGTCACTTACTGACATTACAAAATTATTCAGCCTGGAATCTCGTAATATAACGAGTACACACATTTATACGTGGTAGTAAATCTGACGAAGAAATGTAATGTAACCATTTAACTATAATTACTTTTTTTTCACTATTATATCCACATATGTAGAGAATTTTGGAAGCTCTAACGTTTGAGTATCTTCAATTAACAGCAGTTGGTACACTATTTCCTTAAAAAAAATTCTAATTATAAAATGTCTTACGATAAGACGCGGTGGATTATTCTGTGGATATTTATAGCAGGTTTTAATATTTCTTTTAGACCTTGACAGTATTGTCCTAAAATTACTCTAACGAACTGAAAATGAAACTTGGCCATCGATATGTGTCTTTTAGTTTTCAGTTTGTACAGACAGTATACATTTCATACACAGACGTTTTTTGGACCGAACGGAGCTTATCATCATGTCAGTCGTATCAACTACGCCCATTAAAATATTGTAGTCCACAACACATTTAGATTTTTCGATCATTCTTTTCTTTGTATCGACAAAAATGTTGCTCATACGAAAGAAACGTTGGAAAATAATAGCGCGAACACCCTGTATATTTTTACTGATATATATGCTAACTTTGACGAAGAAATGTAATTTCAATTATACAATACATTTTGTACGAACATCTTTTGTAAGAATATTTTTTTCGTAACTTCGATCTCTTATGAGATATTTCACCGTTTCCAGTTAAACGGAACACCCTGTATGTACACTTTTCGTTCGTATACAAATAACTACCAGCATCGGATTATGTTCACTTTTTGAAACCTTTTTTCAATATCATCAATAATTTCGAATATATTCATCTGAACTTATTTAAATATAATACTTCGCACATACCAGCTGCGAATATAATATGTAATATGGTACGGGATATTGTAATTTATGATAATCCAATCAGCAAGTGAAGTCATTTCTATTCGTAACATCTCTTTCCATTTTGTACCTTTACTGTCATGTATAAATGATACGTGTCATGTATGATGCTCTCGAACCAAAAATAATGGTTAAACAAACACAGAATGCAAATGTACAACATAGTAAGCTTACATAAAATCCGAACGCAGCAATGTTCTCTTGGAAAATATCGGCAAACTGCATATTTATAATACATAATGTAAATTAATGGATTCACGATCAAGAAAAGTGCATATTTAGACTTCGATGTAAATGATTCGTTCCATTTGACGTTCGAGTAAATTGCACAAAGAAGTGTACTATTTTGAAGGTATTTGTAACTTAAACCCTTCGACAGTTTATCCCGAGTGAGACTCGGGCAGTGCGTTAAATAACGAACAGTTTAACTTAAGAGAGACTTTTAGGAAGAAAGTTAGAACATTACACTGTGCTTTAAAAATAATCATACACGACGTAATTATTAAAAAGATACGCGTTAAATATGAATTTTATTCACTCTAATTCGTAATTATATTAGACTGTCAAAGGGTTTAGAAGGACTTATACCCCTACCACAAGTGTCTTTCCCTCACTCCGATTTAATGTATGTGACATCACTAGCCTGCGACTTTGCCCTCAGCTCTGCCCGCGGGCATCGGCGCGGCGGGTGCCCTTGCCCTAAACGCTTACATAGTGAATTGCACTTAATGCAATAACATATAATTAACCTTAGAACTCTTAGGATGCTCCTTGAACCCACAGGTCAAAAAATTTTAAATTAGAACCATTTCCCTTCTGTAAAGAGAATTCTCAAAAAATGACTTACTGTCGTATACACATTTGAGTTTGATATTCAGAAGTACCACTTCAAAAACTTTCTGCAACGCATTTCGCAAATATGCTTCCTCAAGACGCTTAATTGATTTGAATAAAATTTGACATTTAAGTTGACAATTAACAGCATCGTTGCGACTTTCAAAAGTTCTGTAACGGAGATAAGCTGGGATCCCATATTAGCACATTACCATCGAGAGACATAAAAATATGGTTTTTGTTGACTGCTCGTGAAATGCCGGAGACATATAAATAGGATTTTACACACTGTGTATTAAATGCCGGCGATACTTCTTATCGACTATCAACTAAACAAATTATTACCATTTTCGTAAAGCGATGTAACATTGTCGAAAACTTTAAAATGTGCCGGCTACACGCACCAGTTTTCGCGCAAACAACCCGGGCCGTATAGTGTTAGGAGAGATCTCATATCAGGCAGCTATTACGTTTATCATTACCCTAAACGTGTGAAATCACATTCTAATCCCTTGCAACAATGTTGTTCACATTGCAGATAACACTGCAAAGCACAATTAATTAGAAGCAAAAAACAAAGATATTAATTATCTTTCTTTGAACTCGTTTTACGTGTGTCATATGTAAGCATTCCCATTTACCCTAGAAGACGTATTACGCACGGGTAAACCAATATTCGTCGAATGTAATTTCGTAACAGTAGCGGAAAAAATTACCCACCTGTGCTGTGGAGGCGGCGTAGGCGTTCTTGAAAGAGGAAAACTGGCAACTTCTCTCGTCACTGAGAGCGACCGAATCGATCCAAATGTTTGGTCCGGGGATAAATTAGCACCAACACTTTGCACCATCCCGCTACTGAAACAGATCGATTTGTTAAAATCGATATGAGTCTGTAACGTATAGAAACGTGTAGTTTTTGTTGTTCGTTTCGAATTTTTCTGACATAGTATCAGCCAGTCAGGTGATTAATCGAATTCCTCTTAAACTATTATAAAAACGGAATTTTAGAAAGTTTTACCATTACAAAATTTAAATTTGTCTTCTTGATGCTATGAATAAAACAACTGGATGACATTAGAATTCCCTTTTGTAACAACTTTTTATAACCTTTTTCACGGAACTGCTATAAATAACTGATAAAACATATAACGCTATTTTTAATCTCATACAAGCTGTTAATATATGTGCATGTTGCTCCCCTCCTTTAAATCAATAACCTTCAGGAAGCTGACAGAAATGTAAAAATAACAGAGAAGACAAGTTCGGAGACTTTAATTGATTTGTCCGGACTAGAATTGTTGGTTCCCACGCGATAATTTAAACTTTACTTGCCAGCAGAATTTTCATTGTAGCGTTAATAATTATTTTAAACGTCACACCGTCGGCGGGTATTTTTCGCGACGATAGGATGACTTTGAACTGATTAACAAACTCAGTGAAGCCTTTCAAAGATGCGATTGTTTACTGGACTGTATTAGGATTTATAAGTCACACACCTGTGTTCAAGAACAATGTACAGTCAAGGAGAGAAATATGTGGACACCCTTCAAAATAAAGTAATTTTTTTTGAAATTGGGCCAAACGACTTGAGTTTTTTTCAGAAGTTAGAAGAATTAGTTTACTAGATGACGTGGACAAAAAATTTTGAAAACATTGCAATTTGTGGGAATCGCGAAGAAAATTGACTGTTTACAACTTTTTTATCTGGGCTTGTAATGAAAATTTAAAACATACGTTTTATAGATTTATGTCAATTATACACATTCTGAAAATTTCATCGAAATCGGTTAATGTTGCTACAAGCTACAAACGGTTAAAGATTGTGAAAATCGCACTATTTCACGACTTTCAGCCTATTACTGTAATAAATCTGAAGATTCTTACATCTTTCGATGCCTGTCGCTTGTTTCTTCATACATCGATTTCAATGAAATTTTCAGCACGTGTATAAATTTTTCACGAAATTTTAAATTTTCATTACGACCTCGGATAAAAGAGTTGCAAAAGGCGACCTTCGCTATTTTCTTCGTTATTCCGACTACATAATTGCAGTTTTTTCAAAACTTCTTTTACACATCATGTAATAAACTAATCCTTTTAACGTATTCAAAAAGCTCAAGCTGTTTGATCTAATTTGAAAAAAGCTATTCTGCTTGGAAGGGTGTCCATATATTTCTGTCCTTGACTGTACATTTTACTTACAAGTATTGAGTAATAAGTAACGATAGTAGATGCATGTATCACGTGTGTACTTAACGAATGTGCGTGTTTAACTCGAAATCGTGTGAAGATTCGTACAATATACCGGAAACAGACGCGAAGTACACGACAGTACAGCATAGGAAACAAAAAGATCGTAAATTTTATCATGTGATATCAAACAGCATGATAAATAACGTATCGTGGCTCGTTTCAAATATTTCAGAACGCAGCTACTATCTGACAGCCATCTGAGTGCGGTATAAAAACGTAACCAAAGTATGGAGAATCAATGAGACCTTATGTGGGAGTAAAATTAGAATTGGTCATAAGTTAGCAAATTAACGAAGTTTACCCGATGGTTTCAAAGAAAAAGGTATTTACGGTCTTATCTACCTAGCTATGTGTATATCTGTCCGATTACTAGATATAGCCCCGTATAAAGTATGAATGAAACAGAGAAAGTATTCTTAGCAGCGATGACCTTTAGAAATGACTATTCTCGCTCGTATTTCTATCAAAAATAGATATAATTGCTCCAAATGAAGATTAAGATTTAATCGATTCTATTTTATTCGTGATCGTTTCGCAGGAACAAGAAAAAATTAAAATTTGTTGTTAGGTTGGTGGGCAAATGAAATGTCGTTATTTCAGCATCAATTTTTATACACAATAGCCACGAAGAAGGAATTTTCTGTAGTACACGTATATTGAATAATACAAAAAATTCGTAATACAATTGTTTGGACATTATTATCTGACTATAATTTTCTTTTATACAAATTTAAACTTGGAAAAATTGCGATAAAAATTGCTGAAAATATAAATTCAGCATTTGGAGAAGGTTATGTAAATGTTAGGACACTTGAATGTTGGTGTGAAAAATTCAAGATTGGTGACATTATATTGGAAAATGAGCCAAAAAGAAAGCCAGACAGGGCCTAGGATGATAACGTTTTAAGAAAAATTATTGAAAACATTTCACGATAAATAATATGAAATTTTACCATATTCTCTTCTATTCACTTGTCTTGTTCTCAATAGAGTACCATTTCTTTAAACACTTGAACAATTTTATAACAAATAAATTATTCCGAAATGAAGACACTGTGAAAGCAGCATTCAAAGAATTTTTTCATTCAAAGACTAATGATTTTTATATATTAGAAACAATGAAACCATTTAATCGTTGAGAAAAATGTATAGGATCGTCTGAAAATTATTTTGATTGAATAAATTATTTTTTGAAGAAACACAATGTACGTTTAAATGACGTTTTATATGCACCAATCTAATATAAAGAGAATTATTAATAATTAATACAACAAGCCTGATTAAAATGATTGATTTCCCTACTGCGTTACAGTTCCATCGTCAATAGATTACACATACTATTACGTTCCTCACTCTCGTTGGATGACATTAAAACATAGTCGGTACATTTTGTTATTCAGATAAATATACAACTACGACGTTTTGTACATTCGCTTGCAGAAAACTCCTGTGAAAGACTTTTGATTCAATCGGTTACTCCCGGTCAGCAAATACTGGTAGCCTTTTCCTTCGTTTCAAACAACGCCAAGTACACAGTGAAATCTATCAAGTGTTCGCCGCAATATGTTATACAATGATTGCATTTTATTACTACCCTGCCTTACTTTACATACACTCAGTCGAAAAAGCCTCCGTGCATCTCGTTAGAATTGGCAGTACTACGGTATTGGGGTCCACACCTATTGGGTCGTATGATACATCGTTGGAAAGCGTATGAGTAGGGGAGTCCAAAAGAAAATATAAGTCAAACTAGGATACGGTGAAAAAAATACATTCCTTTTGCACAAAGATCATTTTACTTACAAGTACATTTGTTATTACGTATATTTAGGCGTGAATTATACAACTAATCATGCGTTCGAAATATTATTGTAGTATTGGTGTGTGTATAAGATTAAGTTAGGTTTGGGTTAGATAAATTTATTTAGTCTATGCTAGTGGATTTATGCATTTTAATCCATATTTTCTGAATGGGACATTTGCAATAGCAATGATCACTCATGTTGGACTCCTCTACTCATACGCTTTCCAACGGTGTATCGTACGACCCAATAGGTTTGGGCCCAAATATCACTTTAAGCGCCGGACCTGCTTTAACCCCTTAACGTATGATTTCTTTTCTGACTATGCATCTAAGCGTCAACCATTTTCTGTTTTAGTACTGTATCAGATAACAAAAACTAATTTGTCACAGATTAATTACATTTATCATCCTCAGCCCTACAAATTGAAACGAAAGTCAGGATTACTATTAATTTTTCTTACTGATACAACTATTTTTGTTACATCTTTGCCAGAATCTCTGCCACGAGTCTGACACGTTGTCATATGTATGTTAAGGGGTTAAGGCGTAATATGTGGACTAGCGATTAAGCGCCGGGCCCGCCTAAATGCGTTTTCACATGTTTGTACAGAAAAAAATATTACATCTCTTGAACAGCAAGTGGCTCAATATTTATATCATTAAAAATCGTTGCTGTGCCTGTAATAAGCACTATGTAAAATTTTTCAATAGAAATTTTCTGTTTTACAAGAGTTATTTTATTTTATTTTGTAAAAGTGCATGTTTCTACAAAGCGTGTAAATGTTGCGGCGCTTTAAGTAAAGTTTCTAACAAATAACGCTTTAAGTGATATTATACTGCAGCCAACATAACATTTATTATTAGTACAAAGAAAAATGATTTCAGTTCGTTTGTTAACAATAAACTAAACAAGAAGAATAATGTAACAGAAATGAGATGAACAAAATTTCTTTACAGCATTTAAGAATTCAGCAAAATGTCTACAAACAAAACTCCAAAGGCAGATACAAGTTAGTTTCTTATTTACAAGAAAGTAGAAAAGACATTACTCAAAATATTTTTGCTATAATGGAAAATATCTATTTATATTTATATTTGTTTATTTAATTATTAACAAATTAATGTAAATTGTTTTTCTTTATACTAATAGTAAATGTTATGTTTCTAAATAAAATAACGTAAATATTATTTGTTTACTACTTTTTCTGTTGAAATTATACAACGCAAAATAAATTCTAATGAGGAGACTTTTTTGACTGAGTATATGTGCAATGCATTTAGCAATAACGGTACATCGGTAATTTTCGACAAATATTTATCGATATTTTGAAAGTAGCAAGTGCTTTTTGTGAGATTCATGAAGAGCAGTTTCAGTTTAGGGACACAAAAAAATTATGGAAGCTTGTTACTATAAAGAAGGTAAAAGTTAAAGTGTTTCTTTGGTATGTTTACTAAATTTTCCAATAATTCCATATATAATAACAAATATACAAAACTCTTATGAAGAAAAGCTTTACTTCTTTCGATAATCTCCACTATCGAAAACAATTGATGCTTTTTTTATAACTATCAATAGATTCGATATTTTTTTTTTTTTTTTTTTTGTGATTGAGGCTACATTCGGATATACCCAAAGTTTACGGTTTCGGGTTGTTGATTTTATTCTAACCGATCTCGTAACGGCAACAGATCCTTAACTTCTGGTGACACGTGTGTATAGATTGCCAATCTGAATTGAAATTTTGGATAATAAAGATTTCAAAGTATTAAATTATATGGGATAGAAGATTAAGAATTAATCTAAAAAATTTCAACATGCTTACTTTTTTTTCATAAAAATCAGTGGCTCCTTTCTTAAACTATAAACTGTATATATTTCGAATTTATAAGTTTCTTGTAAATATACAAGAAATAAAATTTTTTTTAATATTAACTACAAAGATCTCTTTGAATAAAAAGTGTTTATAAAATTTAATCTATCGGAAATAATTGATAATTATCGATAGTTGGGTATCAAACTATCGATAACTATCAATGGTTACGACTTTCGTTATTTTTCCACCTTTATGGTAAACCAAAGATGAAGAAGACTCGGTGGAACATGTGCTAGGTGAAAGGGTAGGGAGGTAGTAAAATTAATTGGAAAGTGGAAATTAAAAGGGTCGGAAATTTAGGGTCATCGATCTGGAGTTTCGTCGTTGCCTCATTTATGAGGAGCACGCGCGGCAAATGGCTTACATACGTCAATATGTATGGCCATGTTCCTTCAGACTGTCTAAATAATATAGTAGCTACTGTTCTGCAGAAAAAAAAAAATGTTTCAAGTGGAACAGAAATAACGTTCTATGTTTGCAAAGTATGTAAAAACAATATAATAGAGTTGGCATAATATTGTAATCGTTTTTATTGCAATGGTACTCTACTACTTTCCAAGTAGGCTGCCTAAAACAAATGTTACATGGCAATTTTTAATATAATCTAGGCTAAAATATCTAGGCAATTTAGGTTGTCACAGACTGTATTAAGGTATATTCATTTACTGTACAACTGTGGAAAGTAAGAATAATTTAGCTAAATTCATCATTTTCACTAATAGTATGCTAATTTAACACTAGGACAGCTAATAGAATTTATTGAGTATTATACTGAAAATTCTAAAATATGATAAAAGTGGACTTTAAATTAATATACAGGGCGTTTCACAAAACCGAATCTGTTCAAAAAATTATCAAGATAATTTTTGTTATACTTCATTGTATGAAGCAGACTTTTATATTATCTGCACAGAAAAAGTCTAGTCCGACTCCACGTGGGAAACGGAGGATAACTTCAATTTTTTAAATAGAATGTGGATTGAATTTTTGTATATTTACATAATACTTACTAAGCTAAGTAACATTTTCTTGAAACGTTTTTCAAAATTTTGCACGTATCGAAAGTTATCACGGTTTGAATTGTCCATCCTAGGATTCTAACTTTGGTGCATAAATATTTGTACTTGTTGAAATATTTGTAATTGTTTTAGAATGTTGGTTCTGATATTTGTGATATTTCACTTTGATTTGTGAACATTTTTTGTGCGTCTGACCAATTACTGGACATTATTTTTAACGAAAGTGTCATTAACGTTAACGATAAGTAAATTACAATTAAGCCGTATTCAACTTACGAGAAGCACACAAACTTTTGTAAAAGCATAATCAAAATATTTTCGAAATAATCACTTCTTCGAATGACATCCACTGAAATGTTACTAAAAATATTAAAAGCCATTTACAACTTTATTAAATTCTCAAGGACGTCTGTCTTTCAATGTTATATATGTGTTATATGAATAATTCAGTATTTGTGACGATGTTTACACATTTAAAGTGAATCGCGACTGCTTGAAGCTACCATCAGTCGCGGCATGCTCATAATTCGGTTGCAACTTATTGTTATGCGAGAAGTGAAATGAAAGAAACAACGCAAGCAGAGAATACATTACTTACATTGCAATCAGGATTAACACAATCTGCGTCATTTTATTTAAAATCTAAGAAAGCTGTCTAGCAATTTAACGAGTGAGTAAGAAAGATTGTAATCTTACCTGACCGAGCCCGAAGTGACCAAAAATGGCATAGGTGTTGGACATGGACTCAAAGGTGAACTGCTAACTGAGCTACGAGTACTGCTTAACACAGAATGTGGGCACTGTGGTGGTCCAATGTGTGCACCCGCGGATGCATTTCCACCTTTGTTCGTGGAACGTCCTTTCAAACAGGGGATTTTCGACCAGCCGCTAACATCTTTCCCTGACATACCTAGGAACAAGTACGTTGATAAATCTTAGGGCTATAGAGGAAATTTTAGTGTACTGACATAGTGAACTTGGCATGCATTACGAAACTTACAATTAGCACGCTTCATTTGTCTTACGAAAAACAGCACGTGTCAGTTTGCTACGTAAAGAAGCACACTTCGTCGTTTCTTACGAATATTAGCACGTTTGGTTTTCCGTCACGAAAACTAATATATCGAACTGTTTTGTCACGAACAATAGAAATATGAAAATATTTCTCACTCTCGTCTTTGATGCACTCAAATGCGAACGAGCCGAAGAGAGAATAGCTGGCAATTCCCAAAACACCTCCCTCCCTCGATAATAGTCGCGACGTAGACTCTAGCTTGCGTCAATTAAGCGAGGAATACTGTTATGTATATCAGTGTCGTTCAGGCGTTGCCCGTAAGGGCAACGTGTTAGCCTTTCCCGGGCGTAAATAAATTTATGGGCAATAAACCACACCTTCTCGGGTAACGGTGCGTGTAACAGTGTAGAACAGGGGTCGGTAAGATGGGGCTCGCGGGCACCCAAGTGCCAGGCAAGCATTTTTAAAGTGCCCGCCACTGTGCCAAATATTTTTACAAAATAGTTTTAAAAGATGATTGTGCGTAAAATGAACTAGTAGAATTTTGTATTAATAAATTCATTTAAAATAAATATGTATGGAATGTACTTAAAGCTTACAACGTCCCTTCTAGCAAAATTAAGGTAAAGTGCCCTTTATCACAAGCCAGCCATTCGGAGTGCCCTTTTTAATCAAAAGGTTGCCGACCTCTGGTGTAGAGCATAAGAGTAAGCGGCGGGCGCCCTTGCTCGCCTGAGGGCCTGCCGAAAGACACTGCTGTATATTGCAATCAACTCAGAACAAAATTTTGATGAAATCAGATTCGACCATATCTGACTTCCATGATCCAAAGAAATCAAATTTTGTCGATGACTACCTTACAAAACTGAACGTGCTTTTCTTCGTAGCCAACCATTCAAATGTGCTTCTTTTCATCGCTGCAACCGGTATACATGCTACTTTTCGTGACAAATCACTCGATCGTGTTACTCTGCTCTTTTCCGTAGCCAACCATTTAAACGTGCTACTTTTCGTGACGGATAAACGAAACGCGATATTTTTCGTGACAAAGAAGACAAACGCATGTTTTTCGTAACACACGTCGAACTATTCGAACGATCTGGACAGTTTGATTGACGGAGCGCCTTTTTTACGCTCTCGGGATAAATTTTTTGGGCATACCGGGTCACTCGATCAATTATTCCGTAAGTTATCGATTAGTTTGTACTTGCAAGCTTTGTTCAGCCTAGTATCGTTCTCGATTGTGTTTATTGATCGGTGATGTTAGATTTATTTTTGAACAGTAATAATGTAACACATAAAACACGTACTTGAACATGCATATTATTTGCATATATGTACATCGAGTTTACTACATCTGATTACGCCACCACGTGTTGAAACCGATGACATAAAAATGCACGGGACAACGCTCTTTCTCGGCGAACATGACGATCAATCGTGTCATTTAGTCGATATACCCGTACCAAATTCAACAGATAACAGTTTTGTTAAGATAAAACAGAACTTGAAATAAAATAGAACAATACCTTGCAATGTCATTTTGGAGCATAATTTTATGTATCATGAAAGAAAAGTCAATTTGCATGTTCATGTACTTTTCTAAAAAATTACAATTTAAAAATTTAATTCGTATAGTAAACATATCTATATGAGGTCTCAAATGCTCAGAAAAGAAGAAAAGAAGAAAGGACGAAGCAGCATTCGGGATCACTTAGAATCGTCTGCGAAATAATTCCATGCTGGAAATCAAAGATGCAAATTTGCGTTAGTTTAAAGATCCCTTGTGTATGTTCCGTGTGTATCCTTCGCGTAATTTCTACTGGCGCGGCGTCTATAAATTATTCATAAAAAAGTATCGCTACGTGTTAATTTTACAGTGACTGTGTTCCGTGTTATGCGGAATGCTTGCTAATAAAACCCTTGCAGCGGCGAGTTGCTAATTTTCTTAATGTCGGAAGTAAAGACTCGGCATACAAACGATCGACCTTGACCATAGAAGGCGCTAGATTTTCAGCTAGTGCAGAATATGAAACATTCTCGGTGGTAGCCGCGGTGAATGATAGCACAAGTGGTTCTTTGCATTGTCGCACACGCTGCACTTATCCCTGACAAAGGCCAGGCCTTTCGTGCAGCCTAAAAGAGAAGCAAGCCGAGCTTTAATAGTGCGCAACCTGTTTTCTTCTCCTTTTTTCTTCTTTTTTTTTTTTTTTGCTTGCGTTTTCAACTTGCCGAGAACAATGGAAAAATTCCTGATTATCTCAATGGAATGGAATTACCGTTTCCTTTCATTCGCACCGGACGTTGTATTATAGTAGAGTAATCTCTGCACTTTCCCTTGCCAAAGAAATCTTGGTTTCCATCGTAATAAGTAAGTACTTGGACTTCACACGAGTTAAGAAAGAACGAGTTCGTGAATTATCCAAAAGAAATCTAACTGATAAGGTACACTTTGGCAATTTTGTAACAGGTGAAATTCTGTCGTTTTGTTTGTAGAATTATTTACGGATTTGTTGAACATTTCAGTTACCGTGACTTTCAAAAAATGTGTTTAGATTCAGTTTCGATTTCAAGAATTATGAACTTTGTAGACTTGTACATACACTTTTGTGCATAAGTATTTATTTAGTTGACGATATTCATTTTATTTTAATTATTCTAAATATTTGACGACTTTCGTTCACGTAGCAGTGAACGTGTTAAAATGATAAGTTGAAAACTAAATCGGAACTTACAAATTTAAATTAACAAGCTTGTGATTTGTTCTCGAAAAACTGTTAATAGTGTAAATCAATAAGCTATCAATATTGGAAAGTATTCTCGCATAGATTTCAGATCTGTTTAATCAGCAGTAACTGCTTCAGTTTAGTTAATTTTCAAGCTTTCTACATAGAACATTTAATTTCAATTTCTTGATATTTATTAGACAACCAACAATTCCAACATAAACGCGTAAAAAATCGAAACATTTTACATAAAAAATAAGGCGAAACCCATTTTCTTAGAATTTTCTTCTGCGCTGAAGTTACCATTATTTTACAAACTATCTGTACAGAATACGAACGTAGCCCGTCACTTTTCCACAGTATGTACTTAAGATTTCTTCTTCGGCCCATCATCAGTTACAATTTAGCATTACCGGCCAGAAAGAGAAGAAAAAGGAAGGCAAACTCGGGGAATAAATCCGTGGTATAGCATCGAGATTGGGCGCACAATAAGGTCCGCAGAGATACGCTGAAAGTTTCCCGTGTATTGGAAAACCGCTGAAGCCAGCACTGACGGAATCTCGAAATGATGAAGATTCCTTCGATACAAACAAAACTGAAATGTATATAAAACTGTCTACGCCCGTGTTCACCTCGTTCAACTTCGTGTATCCCAATAAGTCCGGTCTATTATGGAATTGAAAACTGTGACTGAAGCAGGACCTGTTTCTGATCGATTCCATTTCACCAGGTTACTATTATACAATAGGATTATTGAGACCTTTAATTAACTTCTGTGTAATCGAGTTGTCCTGGAGGATGTCATTTTAATCGCAATTGTACCTAAAAGCGGAGTTTTAAGAAATGCGAATAAACAAACGTTTGTTTGTCTGCATTATTACAAAATAATGATTTTACTGGCTTTAACCCTTTCGTTACGGTTGATTTTAACAAAATTTTTTGTTTCGATCGTATCGCTTTAAGATTTGTTTTATTAAATTTAAATAGAAGTGCACAGAAAAACGGTGACCTAGCAGGGCCATTTTTGTATCATAGTAACCGCAAGTACGTTACCATTCCCTTCCCATTTCCTATTTTTGTTATAACTTTCGAACAAAGCTTCGAACAACTTATGTTTTCATAACATTTTTTTCTTACTTATATCCATAGAACATACTGACAAAGTTTGCTCGGAAAAAACTAGGACACCCTGTAGATGCCAGGAAAAAGAAACAGAAGTAAAACGGTAACAGTATAACGCACAATAAACGGGGCGACCAAATATGCCATATTCGACTTATGTATGTAAGTGTGACGTGTTTGTAATTGACAGATTACATTTGACTTTCATTTATTCTGTGTTTCTGAAATTACCAATAATCGTCACGAGTTGACACTTGAAACACAAGGAAGCGCGGGAAGTTGCGTTAACTATAAATATGTTTACTATCATACCACAGATAGTTGTAAGGTTTTAACCTCGTTAAGTTTGTAATTCAAGTTATCAGTGTGTTGGCAAACGCGTTATACTGTATGTTACTTTAAAGAAAAGAAAATTAATATTCTTTTCAATTACAACAGGAATTGATACTGTGTAAAGGAAGCGGATCAATTGTACATAGAAAGATTCTCTCAGCATAGTGATCCATTATCCATTGTTTCATGCGTGGAGCCCATTTCAAGGGTGGATTCAATATTGAAAAATAACTAAAAGAGTATATATATACATACATATACATATACATATATGGGAGAGCGGAGTAATTCCGGTTACATAAGCAAGAAATGCTATAAAATTTGAACAAGTTACACATTTGTTAATATTTTTTATATTAATTGATAGCTTGAAGTGTTTAGTTTGTATTAGTATGGTCGAAAATGCATAAATTTACGTTGTAATAAAATTAGAAACATAAAACGAAAAAAGGTTATTTGACCTTTATATATACATATGTATATATTTAACCTAATCTAATCTATTGGTAGAACACAAAAGTCATGTGACTCTAAATTATTGTCGACGTAATTCACGTACAGTATGTTGCTTTACTTATTAATTTTGAACACTGACACTACAAGGTGACCAATTATTTTCTATACAGCGTATTTAGTTAACGAAATGTTGATACAAATACTAGAAAAAACCTAGGAAACTATGAAAACAGATTTTACAAGATAACAACGCTTCAA